AGCAGCTGTTGATTTGGATACGTATCCGGCGTTGTATTCAACAATATCAGTGGCGATATCTGAAGACATGTTGTCATTTGTTACGCAATTTAAAAAGTCACTTTCTGTTTCATCAACATTACAATATGTATTTTGTTCGTCATCTGTCATCGTTCTCCAGAGGGGAACGGAGGTATTTATCTCTTGAATTTCGCTCTTTTGCCTGATTTTGAACATTATTGACCTGTCCAAAGCGAATGTATTGCCAGTGTTGCTTTCGTGAAGTTCACTATGCAGTAAGAGCCTTTTAAAAGTTGCAGTAAACTGCCTACAAGTAGGATTATTATTTGAACCTCCTCGGAAACGTATGTACGCAAACAACCTTTCAAGGTGGTCCTGGCTAACCTTGTACAGAGTTAGGTATTTTAATGGTGGATCTGGCTTGCCAACTAGCTCTTCGTATAGACCCAAGGAACTTTTTATACAAGTTAAAAACCCAAGGAAGCCAGTTTTTCTTTTGCTCTGGAGAATGTCCTCACCATTACTAGTCTTTAAGCTGCAAATGTAATCATACGTCTCATTTAAACATTTTGATTGCTGAACTATGTTTGAAGCACAAAGTGCTTTTTTTTACCACTACTTCTTATACTCTGACTGTTCAATACATCAAACAAATCGTTAAATTGTCTTATAAAACCAATCGTTGCTTGACAATCATCAAATCCTTTTACATTGTTATCTAGCAAATACTTAAGTGAATCGGCAACAGAGTTACTGAAAACCTGTGCAGCCAACTTTACTTTCATTTTCTGTTTATTGTACATGATCTTTAGTGAGTTTGTTGCCTAAATGTAATTCTTGTTCGTTTTGAACTTCATGCAATAACTTAATATACTTCCACTCTATTCTTTGATTCCCTTGCACTAGTATTCCGTAATCTCCTAGTGTATTTCGTACCAGTTTCAGCATGTGTGAAGGATCTAAAAATAAAAACACTGGATTTCCCGTACAAGGGTGAGGAATAAAGGTTTTAAGATTTTTGGTCAATATTGAGCAACCCAGTTTATTTGCCATTGCTACATTGCAAGATGTTCCATTGCAGGTCAGTGACACAACAGTCACCCCAGCGTCATGTGCTAGTGACAAACCTTGTGTAACCCGGCCAGAAAGCTGTTCACTTTTTGTGCTAGACACAAAAAAATATCCAAGAGGTATTTTCCACGCAGAATTGAAAAAAAAACAAGGTGGAAAACAAGTACCTCAGATGCCAAAGTTGACGAATCATCTGAAACTGGTACTCCAACATTGACAGGGCCATGAAATTTTTTCCCATCCCATTCCAAATGCTTGCGGATGGCGATACAGTCTATTTGTAATGAGCATATTGAAGGGTGCTTACTCTTAGCAGCGTATTCTGTTAAGGCTCTTGTTACCTCTGTGGAGAACCCTGGTTCGCACTGTACACTAATACGCAATGTTCGGGTATGAGGCAAAGCAGTATTAAATGTTTTGCGAACATAGGTAGGTTTTTACGCCTTTGGCGACAAGAAATGAAGTGTGACAGCGAATGCTCTCAAGCGTTCTTCATAACATTTTTTCAACTGTGGATTTGTTGTTTTTTCTATAGCACGTCTAATTAAACAGTCAGCATTTTGAGATATTGAACTAAGTAATGTACAATCTTCTTCTTGAAAGTTTAGTTTTTCTTTTAAATATTTACATATGCTTTCGATGTTAACAATTTTTTTCTTCAACCTTCTATTGGACTGTCTTAGAGTTTTAACTTTTTTTCTTGCCTGAAAAAGTTAATTTTTAGTTAAACTCAATTCTTTTTTCAAGGCCTGCTTTCTTGGCGAATCATTAAGCTTATTAGTAACAGATTTTTTAATCTTTTTTAGGTGGTTGTCTAGAGCATTCAGGATCACTAATTCTTCTTTGTTGCTCAGTTTCATTGGTACTAATGCTTGAGCATTTCTCAGTTTCTTTGGTACTTTCATTTGTTATTGTCTCATTGAAGAAATGAAGAGTCTTTTTGCTGGAAGCTTACAGGTAGAAGTTACCTTAGAGTTAGGAATACTTGGAAACACACTCGGAATAACACCTTCCCTCAGCCTGACGTAACACAGTGATGTTCTGTCTAAGTCTGCTTCAGTAAAGTGGTCAGAACATACACCGGATTCACCTGAAGGTTTCCAATCTTTACGTCTTACAGCAACTGTCCATTTTTGACGTAGAACAGGTTCCTTTGGAAATCTGAAAAATAAGGCCATGTCACACTTTTAAAATGAAATAAAAAATGTAATCATTGGGAATGAGTGACCATGAGAACCTATATATATTTATACAGCACCAGAAACTAGAGTTTTAGCTGAAAACAATGGTGCAAACATTTTTAGGTGGGGACAAATATTAATGGGAACTACAGCCGTTTAAACTGTGTTTGTACTTGTGTAAATCTACTGAATTTTGATGCAATGTTCCCTCACTAAACACTTTATTTATCAATTTCCTGTTGTTTCTAAATTATTTAAAATAAATTTTATGCCCACACTAATAGTTAATAAGTTATTTAGTATACGCTAATTTAAATAGGTATCAATAGTTTGAGAATCAATCCTAGAAATGATTCAAATATGAGATTACAGTAGTTATATTCTTACACAAAGTACCACAGTTATTTAAATTTTTAGTAAAATACATTGATTATAAATGAAATTGAAATGGAAATAGGTTATAACAAATTATACGTTTTAAACAAACTCTTAACAAGGAATAAAGCCTACCTGTGAAATGTTAAACCTTCCTTTTTCTTCCTGGTGCTGTTGCTACAACCAAAACAAATACAGTGCGGCATTTTGGAAACAAAGTCAACAATCGTAATAACATAACATAGGCTATGCTTGCCATAATACACGAATACGGTGGAAAGAGTGGATGCAAATAGATGCGAATGCGGGACGAGACGACGCTTGGGCCGCGGGAGCACTGGTGCCGGGAAGTGGAGGGGAGGCGCCATCTTGTGGGGTGTTTGGGCTTTAACGCCACACCACTGAGCGACCGCTCTATTATTATTCTTTGCTCTGTGAACTTGCCAGACGCCCATAATTTTGACACAAAAATCACCTTAGGAATTAAGTATATAGATAGAATCTGAATAAGTGATAGTGCAGTTTTAATTTGTAAAAGGTTACTGTTTAACACCAATTAAAACCCAATCTGTCTGGCACAGGTTTTCCTACAAATTTTGAATGCCAGCTTTACTCACCTAGGGAAGGATGGCAAATTGGTACATGAGATCTCTTCCAAAAGCAAGATCCTTCTGTGTCTAAGCCAAATATCAAAAAGTTTCAAACTTTTTAGTCATCTTCTCCGTAAGCCGCTTTATCGGGTGAGTGTTTAAGTATCTTGGTAATTAAGTAGAGATGGAAGATAATGTTACTTTGCAATAATAGTCAGGAACGTCACTTAGCTTTTCGGTAATAGGTGAAATAACTACTATTATTTTGTCACCTTTAACTCTAGAATGTTACATCTGGTTTCATTGATCTATTACAAAGGTACTATTATTACTTGAAGCTTGCTGTTAGAAGGAAGACACAATCAGTGGGATAGTTATTGCATTATTTGTTCGTTATACAGTAGAACCTCTTTAATCCGAACCCCCGTAATCCGAACATCCACTAATCCGAACCCCTCATTGCTGTACTCTAATACACAGTACAGCAGTTCTTTATTGTTCTTTATTATTTCAAGAGCACAAACTAAAGTAGAAGGTGTGATCACTTATCTCTCTGACCACGATGGTCAAATTTTAGATTTTTGATTTGATATACCTCATTGGGAAGGTGGAAATAAAACAAAATATAAGAGATGCTTTTCAAAAGATAATGTAAACCTATTTCTTGAATCACTTAAAAGTGAAAACTGGAATGAAGTTTATTTTTCATGTGTGGAGGACAAATATGATAAGTTTCTCAATATTTTTATGTATCATTTTAACTTAGCTCTTCCTAAAAAAGTTAAAAGGATAAATTATAAGCAAAAATCCTGGGTCACAGAAGAAATAAAACAGCAAAGAAACAATATTATTGACTTAGAAAAAGAAGCTAGAGTAACAAAAAACAAGGAGTTGAAGAAATATGTTAAAGAGAAAAATAAGTTATATAGGAAACTGTTAAAAGATTCAAAAACCAATTTTTATAATAAGCAGATAAATGAATCAGAAAATGTCATTAAAACAACTTGGAAAATAGTAAATACTGAGGTTGGAGTTCTTCCCAAAAACAAAAAAAAAAACTAGAATTGACTGTAGATAATAAGAATGTATCTGATGTTTTAGTTATAAGTAATTTGTTAAACAATTATTTTATAAACTGTATAAAAGATCTTCAAACAAAACCAGATATAGAACCTAGTGTACAGAAAAATAGTCTTTCAAGTAGTCTCTTTCCTCATAATCAGACTGTTCGCTGTGAGCCCACAGATGAAAACAAAATTATTAAAATATTAGATTCTTTAAAAAATAAGCAATCATATGATGAAATTCCTGTAACTATAATAAAATCTGCAAAAATACACCTATGTAAAATCTTAGTTCATCTGGTCAACTCTTCTTTAATATCTGGCATTTTTCAAAAAAATTAAAAATATTATACATAAAAAAGATTCTACAAAAGACATGTCCAATTATCGTCCAATTGCGATTCTGCCATCCTTTTCAAAAATTTATGAAAAAGTTATGTACAGAAGATTATCCCAATTCTTAGAAAATTCAAATATTCTAGATATGTCCCAGCACGGTTTTCGGCCCGGAAAATCGGTTTTCACTGCAGCCGTTTCATTTATTGAATCCATCATAGAGTCCATAGATAAAGGGGAGAACGTAGTGGGCATATTTATGGATTTAACAAAAGCTTTTGAAAGCATAAATCATCATCTATTACTTGATAAATTATTGAACTTTGGTGTCAAGGGAGTTGCATACAATTGGTTTAAGTCATACCTTTCTGACCGATATCACTATGTTGAAATTAACCAAACCATTTCAAATAGGATCACGGGCGCAGCATCGCACTTATGTTTGGTCTCATGTGGCGTCCCACAGGGATCGATTCTGGGTCCTTTGCTGTTCTTATGTTACATACCCGGACTTCCTGAAGCGCTACAGACTGTTCCCCATAGTAATTTATGTTTATATGCAGACGACGCAAATTTAAAAATGTCAGCAAAGAACCAAAATGAAATTGAATATTTAAGTTTTATAGAACTAGCTAATATAAAGCAATACTTCAATAATAATAGTCTTTCGTTAAATCCAAACAAAACTAAATTTATCACGTTTTCCACACAGCAAAATCGTAAAAAAATACTTCCAAATATAATGATTAAAGATGAAATTATTGAACAAGTGAATGAGGCTAAATTTTTTAGGTCTATATATTGATGAAAACCTATGCTGGGACAAACATGTCGAACATATATCGAGAAAAATTAACTCCGGTTTATTCGCCTTAAGGCGTATGGTCAGCCTATGCTCATTGCCTGTACTAAAACAAATATATTTTGCTCTGATTCACTCTAATATTTCTTATGGAATTGGCTTGTATGGTGCAACAACAAAAGATAATCTGAATACAATTCTAAACCTACAGAAAAAAACAATTAGATGTATGCTCAAACTTGAAGATGATGACTCCGCAAAAGAACACTTCAAAAATCTTAAAATTTTAACTCTGTATGGTCTGTATATTTTTGAATGTATCTTATTTTTTATAACAAAAACTTATGTACAACCAATAGGTCATCAATATAATACAAGAAGACAGACCGAAAAGCATTTTGAAAAACATAGATTGGAATTTAAAAAAAAAGACGACATACATTGGCAATAAATTCTTCCGTTCAATAAATAAGCACTTCCGAATGAACTAAGATCAGAAAAAAAAACAATAACAAACTAAAACGTAAATTGAAAATATATTTGATCAACAAACCCATTTACTCAATAGAGGAATTTTATAAATACAACAAATTTATGAAGCAGTAGTGGTAGTTTTTTAATTTATAATTGTATTGTTTTTTAGTTTTATATTTGACGCCATTTCTTGTAATGACATGTACAAGGACAAATAAAGTTGATTTGATTGATTGATTGATTGATTGATACACTGTTTATTCACCATGTTTACTACTGTATTAATAATTAACACTGTATTTTACTTTATAAAACATTTTTTCACTTTTCCCAAAATAATTTTGATCAATTTTATCTATGTTTTAGCTATTGTTATGTAAAACCAACAATATGTTCTGTAATCCGAACTATTCAATAGTCCGAACTACCCCTGGTCCCAATTAGTTCGGATTAAAGAGGTTCTACTGTATAAGTTCAGATGATGTTACTAAAATAATAGAGTACCTTTTCTCACTAATCTATTACCTAATTGGTGACACTTAAGTAACAGCATTATTTATCCTATTAAGTTAAATAACGTCCACCTTTATAAGTTATAAGTTACCTCTATAATTGTAAGTTATGAACATGTTTATGTCTATGACAATATTTATAGTTATATTTGTAGAGACCTTAATTTAATTTACAATATAACGTAACAATTACTGATCTACTTGTTTGGCCTCAGCGTTTGACCTCTATATGTCGTAACCTCTATGCTTAATATGGTAAGTTTGTTCATGGAGTTCTAAAATTGAGTTGGTAAGACTGAATTAGTTAGAAAAATAAATAACTAGCTCTATATGGATGTTGTAACAGCAAGGTGTCTGGTATGCGTGTGAACGGCTTCGATGTTGTGTGTCAGAGTTACGGCAGATTTGTTGTACCTCGGGCAAAGCTGAAGACAACAATGGTGACTCTGGATCGTTCCTGCTACGTGTGGACGAAGCTTTGCAGTTGTTGGAAGTCCAAGGATCATCTGTAGCCTCCGAATCCTCATGGACTCAACTCATCAATGACATAATCTATCAGGCTGTTACCATAGCCAAGATGGCCACTGACCTGGACTACAACGAAATAACATCAGCCTGCCACGGGGTTAGTTGTTTGTTGAATATTATTATTTAACATTTTTTTCACTTTGTTGAAACATTGTTTTATCATTTTTTTTGTCTATTATTTTTTTATATCTTAAACTTCTTTGATGTAAAATTAGCATTGCATGACTTCTGATAACAGATCTAAAATTTTGGACGCGCTGCAGAAAGTCAACAGTCCCGGAAGGTCAAATAATTTATACCTGTGCCGCTAGGTCAAAAACTACAATGTTTGCAGTGTCTGTAGATCAAAAATCCCAGTAAGTCAAATAGTACAGTCCGAGCTAAAAACGTGGTCTATGTTAAAGCAATTGACTTATTGGGAATTTGACCTAATGCAACAGCAGTTTTAATATAACGAAATAAGATAAAATACAAGTTCAGTTTCGCTGAGTCAACAGTGCTGGAAGGTCAAAAGTATAATCTGTTAAAAACAACGATAGTCCTCTCGACGCATGACTTCAATAAATTCGCGTTTTGGTGTACTTAAAGTTGTGCTAAAATTTTGAAAATTGGCACAGAGCTTCTTGGTTAGTCCTACTCGATGACTATTTTGTTGGAACTTCTATTTACCGATCTAATTAATAAAAATTGATATGTATGGTGAAATAGTTTTAAATCGTGATTTCTAACATGAAAAAGTTAGCATGCAAGATTTTTTTTTGTTTTTGGGTTAGAGAGGTTTTGTCTGTGGCAAAGTTGTAGCCAAAAGTGTGATGCGTAAAATATATTTTTTTGAATTTTTTACAATCAGTGGTTCAATAGATAACTTGGGTTGAAGAGAACGGCAAATTTAGCATTTCACAACGCATGTAAAGAACTACATCGTACGATGCGACTGCTGTGTGGACTTATAATTTACAGTTCTAAGAACCAGAAAAAGATGAATATACAGATCACCAGTACATTCATATTATTTATAAAACATCTTTCTGTATTACCAGCTTACATTTTTCACTTATAAGAATACATCATAAACAGGGTGTTAAAAATAAGCGGGGAGATACTTTACCTAGTAATTCCTTGGGTCAAAATAAACAGAAAATCAAGGATAACATTTTTTCTGAAATCGTTTCGTTAACCAGATATCCACCATTTTGTATTTTTTACATACAAATATTTATCTTTGCACTTTTCCAACCGATGTTTATCAAACTTGGTATGTATGTTAAGGTAGGAGAGACCCATGTTATAAAAAAAAGATTCATCTCGATTCACCCTAAAATTTCAAAATTTAACACTTAACTACAATATAATATACTTTACTACACCACAATATTTACGTATCACCATAAATCTTTAACAAAATAAAACGTTAACATTTTTAAAATCCAAAGTAAATCAATATAATCTTTCTTTTTTGAAAAATATATTTAAAAAAAGGCGATGGTAAAATAACGACAGGCGAGTTTCGATCTGGGTGTTTCAGGTTTGAATCTAGGAGGATTTAACATTAATTAGGTAACATTAATGTTTAATCCTCCTAGGTTTGAACTGATTGAGAGGAATACATGAAACCGAAGGGGGGAGGTAGCAACAAGTGCACTAGTATTTACTAGTGTCCAATTACAATTTCATGGATTCAACCAAAACCTTTTCTATTTCACTTATTTTCAGCTGTTAAATTTCAAACGATACGTTTTAGCGACATCATTAACGTTATTATCATCATCATCGTTTGAGTTTGAGTTTGCGGCAATGTATTTTTATGAATAAAACCTTTAATTTGATACCAAACTTGACCTCTGCTGCTATTAATTGACTGTATGCACTATTAATTAACAGCTGTGTCTAAGGATTATGTCGGCCTTAGTCACAAACAGGACAACAAGATCGCTCCACTCATCCCACACTCATCTCCATTCATACTTGGCTTAAAATGCATACATTTGTATGGTCGCCATTTCAAAGCAACATGGCTACATTATCAATGACAAACGTGGAAAACCTTATACGAGTGTGAGTAAATCCGAAAACAGAGTAGCCTAAGTCCGAAAACAACTCTAAAAAACAATAAGCAATAAATTGCAAGAACCGTTGGGATACAGCCTGTATCCCATGTGTTTTATAGGTAAAGAAGACAAGGGCGGTCCTAGACATATATTTTGGGGGGTCACCGGGGGCCTGGGGGGTATGGAATACCCCCCAAAAAGGAGGGGGTCCTGGGGTTCCCCCCGGGAAAAACGTATAAATAAATAAATATAGGCTATACAGGGTGATCAACTCAAGGAGGCCACCATTGGAATATCGGAAACGGTAAGAATTAGAGAAAACTTAAAATGGAGGACATTCCTTTATTTTTTGTGGCAGTTAAGAATATGATTTTAGTTTTTTGTCATTCAGCCACCATTTTCCAAAATGGCGGCAAAATATGTTTTCGGATAGAATAGGCAATTTAAAAACTTTTTTAGCCTTGACATTTTTTCGATAAACCCACTCGTTTAGGAGTTACAGCCTATGGAAAAATGACTTCCGGTGTACATTTTACATCATGTAGCTCCTAAACAAGTAAGTTTATAGCAAAAATGCTAAGAGTAAAAAAGTCTTACAATTGCATCCACATTCCAAAAAGACCATACAATTCATTAAAAATATGAATTATATTATTTAAAAAATGGCGGCAAACTTGAAAAGTGGAAAACTTTTTATTTTATAGTCTTTAAGGAATGTAGATGCAATTCTAAGACGAATTTACTTTTTGCGATTTAGCTCTAAACTTACTCGTTCAGGAGCTACATGATGTAAAATGTACACCGGAAGTCGTTTTTCCATAGGCTGTACTCCTAAACGAGTGGGTTTATCGAAAAAATGTCCAGGCTCAAAAAGTTTTTAAATTGCATATTCTATCCGAAAACATGATAAAAAAACTAAAATCATATTTTTTACTGCCACAAAAAATAAAGGAATGTCCCCCATTTAAAGTTTTCTCTAATTCTTACCGTTTCCGATTTCCCAATGGTGGCCTCCTTGAGTTGATCACCCTGTATATATGAATTTGAACCCCATGATATATATGAATTTGATATTTTGTATGTGTTTTTGGCCTCTAGGGACCTCAAAACGAAAAATTAAATCGGTCCCGGGGTATAAGTACTACGGTAATTGGTAATAGCTTATTCCCTATATGGGAAATTCGCCAAAAACCTAATTGTTATGTAGAACAATATTACATTCAACCAGCTGTTAGTTAAAACAACTTATATGGGACTAAAACAAATCGATGATTACAAAGATTCCTTGTTAACAATAATTTGAACATCCTAGTATTTTACTATGTATATTTAATTAATCTGCCATCCTCATACCTAAATTGAATGTATCGATGGTCAGCATTACACATAGTATAAAAAAGTCAACACTAAATATGTCTTTAAATTTGTTTCCAAATGCTGAATTTGTGTCACAAATGCTGAATGTTTACAGCTGTTATGTTAAGCAAATTATATTGTACTTAAAGCTAGCTTAGAAGGTTAGCGTCGGCTGCTAGACTTTTTAAAAATTAAAACTTAATTTCTTAAAAACTGGGACCCTTAATTATAATTATGGCTTTGACATTCCCTAGTTCTCAAAATGATCATTCTTTCAACACAAAAATAATGAAAATCCGTCGACTGGTTGATTCAGAATGTGAAAAACCCCCATTTACGTTCTAATAATATATATGATAGTTTGGACAGGTTTCAACCCTTCCGAGGCGTAATACATTTACACAGTTTATATGAAGACTACATTATAACTCATAAAATAGTTCTACAATTAAATGGATCTCCTTTTACAAACGTATATAATAACCAGAAATTTTCAGATCGTCGTTGCGGGTATTTTATGCCACAAATTTTGACGAAAGGCTATACCTATTTACAGTGTTGACCAAACAGTTGGCAAGAAGCATTAATAGATAAGCTATGTACCAAATATTATAATTTTAGCTCTATTCTAATTATGACAAAACACGAAGTAACTAAAAGCGAGTTTTGTTTGTGTAGTAAGCGTTGCAGGAGGTCTACTTTACACTGAATCGACGTTCACTTTTATTGCTTTTGATCTTCCGGCACTGTTGACTCAGCGAAACTGAACTTGTATTTTACCATATTTCGTTATATTAAAACTGCTGTTGCATTAGGTCAAATTCCCAATAAGTCAATTGCTTTAACATAGACCACGTTTTTAGCTCGGACTGTATTATTTGACTTACTGGGACTTTTGATCTACAGACACTGCAAACATTGTAGTTTTTGACCTAGCGGCACAGGTTTAAATTATTTGATCTTCCGGGACTGTTGACTTCCAGCAACATTCCCAAAATTTTATTGTAATTTTTAGTATCTGAAATGCAAGTTTGGTTTATTGCTCCAAATTATATTAACTCTAGGCTTTAAGAGACTTTTACATATAATTTTGTTTTGTCATACACATTGTTTAGTATAATAATTTTTGTATATTTTTAAGTTAGTTATATTGACATGAGTTACTTTGTAAAACAGTTCTTGTACTGAAAGACGCTCGCAAATAAAGGCATTTTTATTCATTTATTTATTTATTTATTTAAGACTATACTTCTTAGATTATAAATGTTGCTAATATTTGTAAATACATCAATTGGTTACAGATTTTGGAAATGAATTCTCAGTTGGTGAATGAAGGCTCAGCTAATTCAAACCAACTTTCTCACCTGACGGATGCCATGTTCAACCATCTTGTCACTTTGGAGGAAAGGGTCAATCTGGCCATCCTCAGGCTTTTCTTGCAGGTAAACTAAACTAAACTAAACTAACTAATCAAAAGTTAAAATAGTAGCCACTTTAAAATATAAAATAGTTTGTATTCTAATTAGTTATGGGAAAATATTCAAGTTACCTGCGACCAAAAGAACACATATCTTTTCTGTATATATTGCTTGAAGAAACATTTAATTAGGTGGTTGGTCAGAAACATTAATTAGTCCTTATCTAATACATAATAGTGACATGTAGGGACATAAGTCCCTAAAAAGCTAAAATCTATAAAACAAAGTATTGTCAAATGATCAAATCAAATGATCCTTCACGTAGCAGCTCTGAAAATTGTAAGTTATTAATTTTTATATCGCGTTAGTGAAAGCAGAATTTTATCTAAATAATTTTTTTATTAGTAAACACACTCTATCAACAGAATTAAAAGTAGAATAAAAGTAATGATGCATTTGTAATCGCATGTTAATTGTAAACAAAGGAGACGTTTTTCAATCCCAATGCGGTACTTTGGTATTATCCGGGGGCCACCCTTATACAGCGTGCTGCGGGGGTTATGTTAGGTTGGGTTATCATAAATATGTTTGTAGGACTTTCCTCGTTTTGTTATGAATCGAACGATACCAGATGAGTTATACTTTCGTCCATCGAATCCCCTCCAGGTAGGCCAAGGTCAGGTTGTTGACCGGATTGTGCGCATCATCTGTCACCACACCTGTATCTGGATCAGGGTCCTGAGTGGTGACTCATCTGGTATCGCTCGATTCATAACAAACAAGGAAAGTCTTACAAACATATTTACGTTAACCGAACCTAACATAATATAACCACCGCAGTGCGCTGTATACCTTCTTGGCGGAGTACATGTGGCAGCTAGCGGCGACGACCCATTCAACTCAATCCTCGCTGACATCGCTGCCTTCTGGGAGGAAGAACTCAAAGGCCGCTAACCGTAATCATGTCAAATTTGGACAGTAAGTCAATTAAAGTATGTTCTTTTATTTATGACAACAGCTAATTTGTAACCAAAAGGTGATTGAGCGTAGCAAACAAACTTCAACCTGGAGGCGAGTTAGCGTAGCATACAAATTAAACCTGAAGGCAAGTGAGCGCAGCGAACGAGCTCGTAGCAAACAAACTTCAACCAGGATGCGATGAGCGATGCGAACGAGCTCATCTTGAAAATTTATTTATTTATTTATACAGAATTTACAATAGCTACAGGTATAAACCCAAAACAGCTATAATGAAAAATAATACAATATTATTACATAAAGTGAAGGAAAAAAAAAGAAAAAAAAGTGCACATAAATAGACAATACAAAACCAGTGATGATAATAGTAAAAAATAGTGAATACAAGTTAATAATAATGGACAACGGTGTTGAAACTTTCACTTATTTTGGCTGCAAATCTAAAGGGATGGATTACATTAAGTAAGCAAAGCGTTTGTCTTAAATTTAAACTGCTTAATAGTGTCCAGAAAAAACATCTATTTTATTATTGTGGACATTTAATAAACGTTAGCCTGTAAAATTGAACAGTGTTACAATGAGGGATAAAAAATAAAATTGACGATCTTGAATTATTACGAGGAACATAAAAAGCAATCTTACTCAACAAAAACAAACTATCAACTTTGTTATTTAGGATTTTATACAGAAAAATCAATGCTAAAACTTCCCTTCTCAATGTAAGGCTTTGGAAATCAAACAATCTTCTCAATGAATCAGTTGACATATGCCAGTCACATATCTGATTATACCTTTTTAAAAACAAGTATCGTAGAAATATATTTAGGAGAATTTCTATTGCATTTTTGTGGTATGAGTTGAAAGGAAAATGAACAAGCATTTGACATAAAAGATAAAACCACATTGGGACAGGATGGTGTCTGTCGGGCCAGCTAGTATATATATATATGTATATACTAGCAGAGTACCCGTCCTTCGTACAGGTTTGGCATATAAGTATAAAATGCATATTGCAGTTATACTCAGGCTTTGCGTTTTCAATGGGGGAGGATACAGTTTGATAGAATTTGCTTCTTGAAATTTACGTTATACTATTGTATTACACATCTGCCATAGCCATATAATGTTCTACCACTTCACCTAAACAATAGAGAAAAATAATTAATCGAACATTAAAAAAATATCACAAATTATTCATGAAATTAAAAACATAAACATAACTGTAAACAATCCTACTTTGACAGTTCTCATTGCATATCACAGTTTTTTGTTGCTGCTTGGTTCAAATTACTGTTTTCATAAATGCAAAACGAAAAACAATAGTGCTGCACCCTGTTGGTAAATCTTATAACTTTTTAATGCTTTTGCATATCATAGAACCAACTTTTTTAGTTGAAACAGCTGACTAAATTCTTTAATTCTTTTAAGTATGAATACTCATAAGGTTAACATGGGGAACTACAGAGCCACTGGGGCGGAGCCCGAAAGGATTTTTGAGATAAGAATATGCCTATATGTTGATCGGGAATGTGAGCTATCATCATGCCAAATTTCAGCCCAATCTGCCCAGTACTTAATGCGAGATTGAACTTCAAACAAACAAACAAACACACAAACTTTTACATTTATAATATTAGTAAGATGTGTCCGTCCAGATGATAACTTGAGTAATTTTTGTCCGATTTTGATAACATTTCGTTTGAAGGTTTAAGGCGGGATAAACTTGAATGAGTTCGCGAAACAGCATGATCGGACCATGGGAACGGGGTTTTATGGGGTAAAAATTGGTTTTTCTCATCTTTGGCCCTCAAAACATAAAATTTACCAATTTCTCTCTAGACTGTCTTAAAGAGCCCAAAAAACAAATCATTCAGTAGGCCTATATCAAAGTGTTTTTGTATGGTTAGGCTACGGAGAAAACTCAAACAATTGTAAATTTAAAATTCCCATGTTATTCTTGTTTAGTTTTATAAAAAGTAAAAAGTATTTTTTTAACATTCAAGTTGTTTCTCTTTATTCCATAACTGTTTACAATTCAATATCATTGCTTAATTATTATTGACAACATCTGTTAAACAAATTATTTTAAACAAAGACTTGTAATAATAAAATAAACAGTTACCTTGTTCAATAACCTTTGGTGCTATTAGATGACGACCGGTTTCGTGATGACAATCACATCATCAGGTCAATCCTCGTAGAACGATTCGTTATAATAAATACATAAAGTTTTTACCGAACACAAGACGAAAACACATTATATTTACAAAATATTTACACACAGAAACCATCGCGATGCGTGCACGCTTATGTCGAGCCGGCCGCGACTCAAAAGCGACATAAGCGTGCACGCATCGCGATGGTTTCTGTGTGTAAATATTTTGTAAATATAATGTGTTTTCGTCTTGTGTTCGGTAAAAACTTTATGTATTTATTATAACGAATCGTTCTACGAGGATTGACCTGATGATGTGATTGTCGTCACGAAACCGGTCGTCATCTAATAGCACCAAAGGATATTGAACAAGGTAACTGTTTATTTTATTATTAAAATTTTCAATATCCAGTAGTAGGAAAATGAACTCTGAAAGACTTGTAAGTTAATATGTAAGTAAGTAATATACAAACATCTCCCTTTTTTAGCCGTCTTGACTGTCCTTCTTTTTTAACATAGATTTAATTTTTCTTATATGATGTGTGTTTCTTCTTAAAACAATATTACTTTCTAATTTTACCAAATAAGAACGAGGTTCGGGTAATTTTTTAAAAATCACACCAGGATTCCAAAATTTGGTTTTAATATCCTGTACTAAAACCTCTTCTCCCACTTGGAATTCATCTTCTTTCTTCAAGGCTGATCTGTTATACATTTGTTCTTGATACCTTTTGTTTTCATTTATGCTTTCATGTACCTCAAAAGAAACTGTTTTAGGCTGTAAATAACTGTTTGGTATAGGTAGTTTTGATCTTATGTGTCTGCTGTTTAAAAGCTGAGAAGGTGAATAGTCCAGGTTTGCAACAGGTGAGTTTCTATAATTTAATAAGAGTTCAAAATCCTGTTTACTTTCAGCACTCTTCCGTAACATTTTCTTTACAATTCCTACAGCCTTTTCTGCTAGTCCATTACTTTTTGGATAGTGAGGACTTGATGTGATTATTGTAAAATTCCAATTTATAGAAAAGTGTTTCATTTCATAGCTATTAAATGGTTGATTATCAGCCACCAAATACATAGGGATCCCATTTCGACTAAATAGCTCTTTGAATTTACCAATTATTGTATTGCTGTTTTTACTGTTCAACTTAAATACATCAATCCAACGTGAATAAAAGTCAACAGTTACAAGATAGTATTTACCTGCATATTCCGCAATATCAGCTCCAATCTTGATGAAGGGTATTTGAGGAACACTGTGAGCTTTTAAAGGTTCATTCAATTTTGAACGTTGGTGTTTCATACATATAGAACATTGAGATACTGTATTTCTTATGTCTGATGACATTCCTGGCCAGTAAAAAAATAAATTGGCAGTTTTCAATATTTTAGTTGTTCCCAGATGAGTCTCATGCAGGTGTGACAGCATAAATTTCCTCAGTTTACTTGGTATTATAAGTTTGTCATTCAAATAGAGTAATCCATCTTGATGAGTTACATCATTTCTCATATTGAAATAAGTCTTTAGGTCACCATCATTAACAGATTTTGGCCATTGGGTTTTACTAAATTGTATAACTTTGTTTAAAACATCATCATTTCTTGTTTCCTCTTTAAATTGCTTGAGTCTTTTATCACTAAACTTCACTTCAGAAGATTCAATACAATGCACAATACCATCTAAGGGTTCATACCATTCAACCTCATCTTTAATACCATTATGAGATAAAAAATCTGCAATATGCATGTTTTTTCCTGGCAAATATTTTAGTTTAAAACTGTATATCATTAATTTAAGTCTAAGTCTTCTTATTCTGTTATTGACAATTTTAAACAATGGCTTATTAAAAATTGACAAAAGAGGTAAATGGTCAGTAAAAATTGTTACATT